TTCAACATGTAACATTTAGTGAAATTAATACATATATACCCCTTAGGCAACATTTTTCATTAAGCCAGATACTAAGACCAAACAATCCAATTTGCAACCCATTATACCATGGAGTTTATTTTTTCAGTATGTTACTGTAGGTCTGGTCCAATGAAGGCTAGATCTATAGATAGATAGATAGATAGATAGATAGATAGATAGATAGATAGATAGATAGACGGACGGACGGACGGACGGACGGACGGATGGATATATCTGTCGATACATAGACAGATAGATCTATAGATTGATAGATGATCTATAGATCGATTGATCTATAGATAGATCAATAGACTGATCTAAAGATATATATATATATATATATATATATATATATATATATATATATAGATAAATATATAGATTGATAGATAATAGATAAACAGATAGATCCATAGATAGATAGACAGATCTTGCTATGTAATAACTATAGCATAACAGTATGAATCAGAACAGCTTTGTACAACTGCATCCCTTTAAAGACACTGAGCAGATAAAGACGGTGTATGGGTGAAATTATGAATTAAATGCAATTTATCTTCGTTTTTGGGTTAAACTGTGGTATAATTGTTAAGAGTATAATTTGTTTATATCTGTAGAAATATGTTTTTGGATCAGTACATCAGACTCTCACCAAATCCACTCAGAATGTCTATTATATTACACCTCTCAAAGCTGAATTACAGTCTGCATTCTCAACAATTTATCTGTTGTTGAACTTTTTATACATTTGCTTTCTGCTATTTAACCATGACAGAGCTCTTTAACTGGATAAGGCTTTTTTAGTAAAGGTTTATATTTAATGATAATAAGAAGCAAAAACCATCAGGTTTTTATTTTTTGTTGCCCTATCGAGTGTTATTAGCAGAGGTGGGAGATGTGGAGCCATCAAGTCATCTCTATGTCATGTATTTGTTCTGCCCAACCACTGAACCAGGTGATTCTAATCTGCACAGTGAATTAAATTGTGCAGATTGGACTTACCCGGTTCAGTGACTGGGCAGAACAAATACATGGCATAAAAACAACTTGTTGACTCCACATCTGGTTATTACAGCCCTGGATATGACACTGACTGTTGGTCCAATATATCTGAATGACTGATAACCGGTTAAAAAGCTACACAGAGAATTATGAGGAACACTAACTTTAACATTAGCTGCTGAAGGAGAGGGCTGATCTTGTAGTAGGGCTGCAATTAACGGTTATTTTGCTAATCGATTCATCAGTAGATTATTTTTTAGATTAATCGATTGGTAATCGGACACTCAAAGGTTCCTTAAAAACAAGATTTTTTACTAAGTTAAACCAAGTGAAACTAAGATGTTTCCACTTGAGTTCTTGATAGAACATATGGGCAGTTGAGAAAGTTTTTTTTTTCTAAATGTGAAATATTTACATATTATTTTACAATCTTGGTATAATTACTGCTCTAAGTGGGTCACTCTGTCAGTTAAAGCCATGTTTTAGAGTCTTGATACTCCAGTTAATGATTAATCGATTATTAAATTAGTTGACGATTATTTTGACAATTGATTAAACATGATTAATCCAATTAATTGTTTCAGCCCAATCTTGTAGTTAACCTGTAATGAAAATATATCTTCTGAAAGCCTTCTTGCTTGTATGGAAATGGAACGGCATTAACCTATTATACTCAGAGGGTTTTAGAATGAATTTCCTTTTTCGATTTTAGAAATAATCAAGAATTACAAAAACAGTAATCTGGTTTAATGCAAACCTTTGTTACCCTTTAGGAAATATTATATATATAACTATGCCAAATGTATTTATCATAGATCAAAGATATTCTCACATTATTTGGCCTAAATGTATGTGCAGACTCTTCTCGCAGACTCCAAGGGGTAAAAACTTCCTGCAAATGTTTGGTAATTAAAAGCACATATTCTTTAAAGACAAGAATAGGGTTTTTACAGTAATTTAACCCTCAAAGATATGTTTTTTGTTGAAAAACAATTCTTTAAACAATGCCATTAAGACCAGAAAGCGAAAATACTGTATAAAGCTGAAGTATACAGAGCAAAACAAAACTGATATATCTAAGCAAGTGAATAGAAATGTTACCCATAGAATGTGACAGATTGTCAAGACAATTTGATCCATCAGAGTCTAACAAATTCAGACCACGACTACACATGGCCTACATTCAAACCCCCCAGTGAAAAAATAACACTGCACATCATGAGCACACCATCCTCACATAAATCTTGAGCCTCTTTCATAAAACATTTCGTCACAATTGAAAGAAGGAGTAGCCCCTGAAATGCTTCTGGCCTTCTAATGAAGTGGAGATGTCCGTTTCCTGCACAGCTGAGAGCTTTCAGGAATGTAGCTGGCAGGGTAGGATGACAGGATGGGGGGGTAAGGCAGGCACACATCAGCACTACTTAAGTAATCTGCGTCAGAATTCTTTCCGTACCATGTTTCCTAAAGAATAATAGCAGATGATGTTGGTCTTTTGATCGTTGCAGAAAATTAAACTTTAGGAATTTGAGCTTCTACAGGAAAAAAACAAAGCTGTGGGGCTGCGAGACCCTGTAAGAGAGTTGTTCTGATTTGGAAAAAAGGCATCATATTGTGGGTCTAACTTTTATTCAGCAGTAACAGTGGAATTGGTTATTCATTGCTAAAATTGATATAGCTATATAGACGACAATCATGAAGTAACACCTTTTAGAAAGATTTAAGACTTGGGTGGAGGTTTACAGCATTGTAATAATATTAAAGTGCCAGAATGGCCTAGTCAAAGTTCAGCCTAAATTTAACTCAGAATCTGGGACAAAACCCCCAAATGATATGTTTACAGATGCTGTTCATTTAAGTTAACTGAGCTAACGAATTTCTAGCAAATTTTACAGTTAAAAAAAGGGGGAAAAATTATCTTTAGATCCACAAAGCAACTTCTATCCAGGGGGAAGGCTGGATGTCAGATGTTTTGTTTGAAAAACTAGAGTTTTCCTTTTTATTTCACAATTATACTTTTTGTTGATTTATCAAATAAAATATCACCAAAAATCTAAACTCTAGTATCTGTTTGAAGGTGAATTGGCCTAGTGTTATGATATTCATTGCCAGCAACATTTTTCCCTTTACTTTTGCTCTGAGGTGGAATAAAAGTCGGTGAAACAGAGAGCTGAACCAGAAAAAAACACTTTATTCCTCCCTTGTGAGCCGCTCATTACAACACAGGAAGCAGCACAACAATGAACAAATGGCTCTGAGCAAAACAACTGGCCAGTGGTTGACAATGTGCGACAGAGGCTTTTAATTTGTAACCCAGCACAAAAATACACGCAGCTGTTGCCATAGAGGCTTAGTGTGGAGAGAGCAGAGGGTGATGGTGTTATACACGGCTCTGCTTAACATTTCCCACTGTGTACAGGTGAAGTCCCTTTGTGCAGAAATGCCCACGAATCCCTTAAATATTTTTCATTTAGAACATTACAATATTTCCCACAGTGATAAATGCCCAGTTCCAATTCTGCCTTACATAGTGCAACAAAAGCTTTCTAAATAATCAGTAAACAGAAACACAGAAAAACCGAAACCCAACAGATTTACAGACATCTGTTCTGATTTCTTATGCTGCTTTCACAGACCTCATTTATAAGTTACTTCCTGAACTTCCTGAGCTGCCATCTTCGTCTGTCATTTGTCTGCTAATGAGGCCGGCTCAGGTGACATAATGTGACCTGAGAGTGAACTGCAAATGATGAGTTACATATTACAACCGTCGCTTCTGTGCAAGAATGAAGATTCAAAGCAGCCATAATACATTCTGTCAGGGAACAAAAGACACACAAATCTGAGACATTTTTTTAAGCACAAAACAAAACACATCTTAAAGGAGAACACCGTTTTTTTTTACATTGGCCCCTTGATTTTACGTTATAACATCATGTTCTACTCACCCATATTAGTTTTATGTCATTTGGAGCTGTTCTGAAGATATTTGGTTTTGTAATATCCAAGTAACGTCTTCCTATGGGCAACAACTTGAAGGCACAAACTAAACTGTTCATAATTTGTTCTTTATGGTACGCCAGCATTCGTAACATTTAGGCAAATCACTGTCCCCAGACATCCGCGGTTATATTTTTTATATTAAAGTTTTTTAAAAACAAATGACGTTATTCGCGCACCGGACTGGAGTTGTGACATGCAGCCCGGGCCACAGGCGGCTACGCTCTACGCCTTCGATTCATTCGGCTAGCTAATCTGAATCTTTCAATTCCATTTCGAGAGCGAGATCATCTGTGGTCGTAGCACTAGACATCTTTCAGGCATGTGAGTAAAACTAGCAGCAGTTCAGCGGACAGGATGAATGAACGGTAGCCGGCGCACGTGGATGGCGATTTTGTGCCCTCAGACATTATTTAGATATGAAAAGTAGGACAAAAGAGGACGTCTGGTCACCCTACCATATAAACCATTTCGATGTTTCAGTAAGTGAGTGCTTGTTGCTATCATGCCTCTTTGCTCGTTGTAAACCAACCAATCAGCGCACAGCTCATCTAAATATTTATGAGCATACCATCAAAGGATGGAAACCTTTTGTTTCATTCTAGGGCTTTTAACCAGGCTGGAATTAGGGCTCATAGAACAGCAAATATGCCATTTTCAGCTCGACCAATGTTACACACCCTATTCAGAGACCTTAAGGACCAGCACAATACCATATATAATCATTCTATGACCCCTTTAAAGAATATATCAAACTGTTTCATTGAAAACAGGTGAAAAGCCACATTGTAACCCACACATAATTATCGTGGATCGTAATTATTATTCCTGTTAAATGTAGCTTTTGGACAATTAGTAATACATTTTATTCTTATTTCTTGTAAAAGATTATATCCTCATTGAAAGCATGCATCAAAAGCTTTTAGAGGTTAATGTCTAATTCTACGATGTTCGCTCACACATGTTTTTTTCTGCAGGTATCTCTGGATCAATACCACACTGAGGAAGAGATCTACCAGATGTCTCTACAGAGAGAACCTCGCAAGCCAGTTGTACGGCAAAAACAATTAGTAACCACTTTATAAGAAATGTTTTGCTTTTTCCTTTGTACAGATAGAAGGGATGCAAATGGTCAGGAAAAAAAATCATTTTGGCACTGCATTTAAAGGTGATAGCTAAAAGTTTAACTCCTCCCGGCCAGTAGGGGTGAATTTATATTCATTGTACAGCAGTAGAACTAAATGAAAACAAGAATCTTATGTGCAATCACACAAAACACATAAAATAGGCAATTTCTCTGCTCTATCAGGGAGCTCCTAAGATCTTAGTAATGCTGAGCTCTGTCTAACATGGCTTCAGCCAACCTTGGCTATTGGTGCAGAATGCTTTTCTGTTAATACGTCTTGTCGCAATTTATTAAACAAGTATTTATTCACATTGTTGTTTTTTTTCAGGTAAATTAATACATTCCGCACAACTTTAGGCGGTCCGCTGATGTATTATTTTTTAAAAGGTTAACTTTAAGTTGCAGTTATGACCTTTCACAAGAAATGTCAGTTTAAACTAAGAAGCCCAAAGGGTACCAGAAATATCCTCTGCACCATTTTACCAACATGGGATTTTTTTTCCCACTCACTTGATGTTATCTTTTTTTCAGGATCTTCTTAGATGGTCGTGTTTGAAAATCCTACAATCTATGTCTGTAGTTTTTAGAAACTCAGACCAGCCACTGGTTTTGTTTAGATTTTCTTCCCTATTCCCATGGTTGGTTTAATCTTCATATAATTAACCTTAACACCTCTAGATTCATGAATGCATTGATTTGGGCAACATTATGTGGTAATTTACCATTTGAAACTGAACAAGAATGATCAGTTGCTAGCAGTGGAGGCTGGTGGAGTTTTCTCCAGGGGGGCTATAAATTCAAAATAGACCTATACCAACAAGCAATCAAATGTATACAAATTTATCACTCTAGTATATTTATATGAATGCAAAAAGTGATTATAAAAATACTTTATAAAAACAAAAATATAATTTCATGCACAGGTTTTCTTTTTGTACATAAATGTTGCCCTTCTGAGGCTTTATGAAGGCAAATCTGCGTTTTGCGTTGTTCAATATGGTGTCACAAACGTACCAGTTTAATAATGGACAAGCTATTAGTCAGCTTTATATTTTACAGAATAATATTCTGTATTGTATAGTATACAGTTGCAAAGCCAGATACTGATACTGAAAAAGTATCCACAAAAGTGTTAACATGTAAGCTTAGAAATCCTGCCTAGTTAAGGCTGTGGTAACGGGATTTCCAAAGCAAATCCTCTAAATCCTCTAAAAAAGCCAAACAAGCACATTTAAAAGCAGGCTCATAATTTGGATGAACTGACTATATTCTACTATACTATATAGTCTACTTTCTGGCTTAAAAACATTCTGAAACAACTTTTTTCTGATATATTACTAGTAAAAAACACAATTCCCGAAAAGGCTGAGGCATGCAACTTTTGGTTATGTTACATTTAATAAGAGAAAGACACAAACTTTGTAACTCTGGCCTTTAATGTGTTGATGAAATGCTTAAAATGGGTTTTAGGCTTGATTGAAAGAAAGATATGAGTTGCAGCTTGTCTTCAAGTCCTTACATATGAAAACCGAAATAAATGGTACTTGCAATTTTGGTCAAAAAGTTAAAATTTAGATTTTTGGCAAAATAGCACAGCCCCAATGAAATTATGTAATTTGAACACTAAGCCCCTCAATTCTCTGGGGGATGCAATACCTTGTCTTGCTGCTTGCATCCCTGCCACCTTAACAATCTTGAAGGATTTTGGAAAATTCTACCCCAGAACAGGATGTCTTATATATTAAACTTAAGCCCCAAGAAAGTGAAATTACCCTGGTAAATTTGGACCTTGTTCTTTTAACAGAGCCTCAGGTTTTCCAAAAGCAATCGAAAAGAGGTTCAATAAATGTGGAGAGTGTTGTGTGTTCAGAGAGTTTGGGCAACTTCAGTATTAGGTATATACAGTATACTTAAAATATTTTATAGAGTCTGACAGGAACATAGGTAAGAACAGGAATCACACAATCAACGTGAGAAACAGGTTAAGAATCACTGATTTCAGCAATCTTATGCTTCAGTTTTGTCATATCATATTTTCTCAAAGCCTGCCATCATGTAAAATATATCAATTTATATTTCTAAGCGTCCCTCAACTGTACATCACTTAAAAATGGTTCAGTGATGAACAGTTTTTTTAAGAATAATTTATTCTGTTTAACTTTAGAATTTAACACAGGTATTAACAATGTAAATACCTTTACAAAAATGTGTTTTTAAACTTCTGTGTATACTGTTTTCTCTCTGCTTCTGTGGTTTAACCTTAAACTCATGATGTTTGTTTCCTCATTTTACAGCAGAACTCCAGTCCTGCTTCTGCGCCTGAACCCAAATCCACCATGATTGATGAGTGGGCTGTGTCGGTAAAGCCCAATGCTGACCCGACGATCATTAAGAATCACATCGAAAAGATGGTGGAGGTGAGTTTCACTGGCTTTACAACCGAATCTCAGTGTTCGATCTAACTTTTAGGATGTATAAGGGTTTAGAACAGCAGGGATGTCATGATTTTATCAAGAGCTCGGACCCACATGCAGATTAACCAGTCCAGAGAGAGAAGGGAGAAAGTTTAACAGGTTTATTAAGAAGTTTGGTGGAGATTGCGGTGTTGCTCTGAACACTGCTCAACCGGAGTTGAAAAGGTGAGGGGAAGACACTGCGGTTAGTTCAGGTTCAGTGGGAGAATTGATTATCGAACTTGAAGAGGAGAAAATGTTGGCAGACTCACGTTTCCAGAGATTAGGTTTACTCTTAGACTCCAGTAGGTGAGGAATGTGTTCCGGTGTTTGTCTCATACGGTGGAGGGCGGACAGGGTTACCCAGAATGTGGTTGCTTGTAGATGAACGGAGGAAGACTGACTGCCACTCAGATTTCCTGCGGTACTTGAACAGACTATTGTGCAGATGAAACCCCTGCTCAGTGTGAAGCTCAAACATTTCCTTGGGGAAAAGTGGATCCAAACCTCTGATTTATTTCCTCAGCTCAGTTTGAAGCTCAGTTGATCCTTCCAGGGAGAGAAGGTCAGAAAAATCCAGTTTGCAGGATGGTTTTCTTGCCGAGAGGCAAATACAAAAAACAATCTTAAGACTCAGGTTGACAAAAACTCAGTTTGACTCAGCAAAACTCAGCTTGGCTAGAGTACCCCGAACTGGCAAACACTCTGGTGTCGAGGTAGTGGCAGTCAGCAGCTTAAGAACATTCCGTTAACGACGTAACCCCTTGCAGGTGTGTGAGGAGGTGAATCAGAACCAGGCGCCGCCTGGTGGAGAAAGGGAGACCAACACACAAACACACAGACCACACAGACTGGAGTCTTAACAAGGGATCATTTAGGTTCTGCTCTTGTCCTCCATGGAAGGTCAATTTAATCTTGGCCTGATCAGTAGATGTGGAGTAATCTTACATTATGATGAAGCAATGGGGTTGAGATTCAGCTTTGGAAATTGGTTTTAAAATGGATTGCTTTATTTGTAGTATAAAAACTAAATTTATTTTTCAACAATCAAAACCACTGTGTGTCTGAGACATTTTTTATGAAAAAAGGTTAAAAATATCAATTAGTTTTTTTAAAGATTACTAAATAAAAATCCAATATAAAAGGAGCAAAAAGCAACCCCCAAAGTTATACCCTGAAATACATGCTAGCCCTGAAATTAGTTAATATTTATCCTGTTTATAGATGTTAAAAGCAAAGGTTTGGACTACAATCTTTGGAATTCAAGAGGTTGAGAATAATTTTGTCCAAAGACCTATTTTTAACCCAGTCGTGCTCACTGCTTTACTTTTATTTTGGTGGTTGTTTCACCATTGTCTTTCCTCTGTCCCTCCTTACCTGTCCTATCCTTCTCCATAATGTTCAAAATATAAGATTCAAAAAGTCTCATGTTTTTTGATGCTAACAAATATACATTGGACTGGCTTAAGCAGGACAGGAGGGCGGCTGTTCGGCTTATGAGGCAAAAATGTACCCAGAGTGCATTGCAGCTCTTACCACCAAATTATCCATCGTTTATTACATTAGTGTAAAAAAACTACTACATATTAACATTTTTTTTTTTTGGGTTGGCCTACACCAACCTTGAAATAAAAAAAATGACAGTATATACCATCCATCCATTTGTTCGTCCACCCATCGTCTATATTTGCCTCTAAAGTCAGTGTCACTCATGTCCCTTTACTCTGATGCACCTCAGTACAATCTGGTGCAACCAATCAAATCCCAGTTCTGTCATTTAATCGTCATATGAATCCAGCTGAGAGATTTGGTAGCTGTGGTCAGAAAAAAATTAGATTTTTCTTATTTCATATATTGATTTATGCTATTTACAGACCCGCACCGTACCCCACACATACACACTTAAGGCCATCAACTTTTCAACAACTGTTTATTAACTAACAGTAATTTCTTAAACACAAACAAGAACAGTATCGGTCTTTTATTTAAAATTTTCAATACTTTCAATCTTGTAGCCTTGAACATCGGTTGTGCTTTCTGTTTTTCATGGGACTTCAGCATACAGTGCACCTGGCCATGGTGTCATCATTTCTCACCATGGCTGGTGCTAGATAGAGGGCCAACGGGGGCCAGTGCCCCTGTAGATCATGTCCCGGCCCCTGTTATGGCCCCTGTACTGAAGACATAATACTAATCGGATGATGATATGCGCTGGAACAAGCATTGTTACTGATGGGTCCTTTGGATCTATTTAATCCTCTTTCTTTACAAATTCTGTTTCACTAATTCAAAAAATTATTCTTCTGCTAAAAGTTTTTGTTTTTCGCAATAAATAAAAAAAAATGCTCTAATTTTTACAGATGAATTTAACAGTTTTTCTTTAATTGCCTGCTCCATTAAAAAACACCACCTCCCATTTTCTAAAATCCGGGATAATTTATCCGACTCGCGGGCATCTGTGAATAGCTATTTTTATCAGGGAGACTGCCGGAACTTCCGGGAGACTTGTTATGTCTGTATTTACTCACTAAAAACGTTTTTCCACTCAGTCTTCACCTGTAAGGCCACATAATGCTTGAGTGAAAGGTGTTTGTAGACAAGACATACTTCTTCCCGTAAAAAGCCAGATTCTTTCCCAAGGTTTAATCATAACATTTTACTGTTTAACCAAAGTGTCTGTAATTTGTTTTGACTCTGGCTACTTTCCATTATTGATTACTATGCACTAAGGACCGTATGATGATCTGTTCTCTCTTTGCAAAGATAAAATAAAGTCCCCACTGGGTGAAATCCATCGACCTCCATTTATTTGACTGGGGTGAATAGGTGAATACTTTTTTCTCACCACAGTAGCGTTGAACATCTTACAGAGTAGTCAGAATTTTTTCTTTGTTCTAATCTACCTGAACGAACCGAGCAAGTAAAAGCGTGCCATGCTATCTCTACAGGAAGTGATTTAAGTGTAGGGATTCATGGGACAGCTATTACTATGCAATAACCTGATGAGACCAAAATGTGACTTATACTTTATATGTAGAAGCCAACTGATTCTGAACACACCGTCTTCACAGTAAAAGCATGTTTTTCATTATTCATGACTGTATTACACATTAAGAGGTACATTTACTGTTTATGTAGTTAAACAAATTGTCATAATTTTTGCACTGACATGAGCAGCTGCTTGTTTGTACATTTTCACATTTAACCCTTTAAAGCTCGATCCAAGAATGAAACAAAACAGAAAATTACTTTTTTTGGTTTGAAGTCCTTATTTGGCATTTTAACAAAATATGTAAAAAGAAAAAACAGAAATACATTTTTAATATTAATAATTTATTACTATGCGATCAGGTATATCTGATTGTGTACAATACGATTTTGAGCAAAGTTTTTACCATTAAATTATGCAAAAGGTGTCAGACGCAAAACATTTCAGAAACCGTATGTATCAAATATGACACATTTGGCATTACAGGGTTAACCAAACTTGCGATTTTTCTTATAGTGCAATCACTAACAACTCTTACTTTCTTCATGGAATTGCATTTAAATAAAAATACATGCACTATCACACTATTGGATCCTCGTATGCAGATGAGGATTTTCTAGTGTGCAAACATTGCTAAATAGAATGCTGTTTGTTAGTGGAATATTGCCTCTGCCTCATTCTGATTTCCCATCGTCCCTGTGGGTCAGAAACAAATTGAACTCACTGAACACCAGTTTAAAAATTGGTGCAAAGTTAATCACTAGGAGAAGAAATTGCATGACCAGATGGCCTTTTATGCTGCATCACGGTGCTAATTGAGTTTTATCTTTGTTTAAATTGAGCAGTTCTGATCATTCAAATATTAAAAAAAAACTGTATTTTGCTGTGGAAGATGTTTTAGTTTATGTTTTCAAGCTATAAATAAACACTGCTGGCTAACTGATGAGGCTGTGACAGCTTCCTGCTTTTACTGCTCCTCTCTGCGTGCAGTTATTACAGTGTTTTCCCCCGAAAATTGTTGCCCGGGCTGTTGTTGCTGGGGGTTTTCTTGACTTGATGTGAAAAACACTACAGTTAGAAACCATTTTATTTGCCACCAAGTAATTAAAACAGCAAACTGAGGGAGCTAAAATTCAAATTATAAACAAACCAAAAACACCCTGCAGGACCCCCTGAACTCAGCTAGCTGCATTGGTAGAACCGTCTATTTTAAGATTATTCATTACCAGCAGGTCTGGCAAGTTACTAATACTATAACTTAAAGGAATAGTACACCCAAAACTTGATTAGCCTTCATTTTCTACTCACCCCCATGCTGAACAACACTCTGGAGTACTTTTTTGATATCTCAAATGCATCTGGAGATCTGAGAGGCTTCTTGCTGTCTAAAAGCGCGTTCGCGAGTCTACGGAAACCGCGGCAGACCAAACCAGATGAAAGTGCGCATTCAGCTCGGCAAAGAACTCATGCTCTTCCTCAACACTGAAGTCCTCAGACATTTTTCTTTCGTTGTTTCTTTCTTTGCACAGGTAAACAGCACATTTCTTCTTCTACGCTTGCATTATTGGCAGAGCAGACGCTGAATGTGCACTTTCATTTGGTTTGGTCTGCCGCGGTTTCCGTAGACTCGTGAACGCGCTTTTAGGAAATCCTATACACTACTGTTTATGCTCTAAAAACATTCTAAATGACTTCGTTTCGAGTCAATTCTGGATGCTACCCACTCAGGACACTTGGAATACATTGGACGAGAAGTATGGAGGAATATTGACTCATTTTTTGTGGACTTTTATGGACCTTTCTGCCTCGGGCGCCATAGACCTCCATTATTTGAATGTCAGCAGACAGCAAGAAGCCTCCCAGATCTCCAGATGCATTTGAGATATCAAAAAAGTACTCCAGAGTGTTGTTCAGCATGCGGGTTAGTAGAAAATGAAGGCTAATCATGTTTTGGGTGTACTATTCCTTTAATACCATATTGTTTGCAGGCGTATAACAAATTTAGTCCAACAGTACTAGATACTGTTGAACTAAATGACTATTTGATTTTCTTTTAATGAGTCTGGACTGCATTCCTTCATCTGTACTTTAAAATATTAGATAAAGTCTCCAATAGGTAATTCCACCCTGATTACAGGTTTTATAAAGGGGTACAGGCAGGACTTCGGAAATTTCTATAACTCTGGTTGCAAACCAAGGCCCTCTAATTGAATAATGGTGCCCTATTGGCTTATCTGTTTTTGTTTTCGACTGTCTTTGCCCCATTTGTTAGTTTATTTTGAAATCTGCAATATGCATCATAATACTCATGCAAGCCATTTCTAAACACACACACATAAATAAACTACTCCCCAGAAGCATTTTGAAGGTTTTATGTATTCAGATTTAACACCATGAGGCTCCCAATAAGTCACAAGCTTAAGTGCATACTCATTCTCCGTGCTCGTTGCTTGCTTTTTATAAACCTATCGATCTCTCCTACCTTCATGTGGACCTGTTTCTGTGTGCTCGTCAACTTTTGTCATTTTTTTGGTGCAACAAAGTAAACACCCTGTGTTTGGCTTTTTTTTTCAGGAAATCCAGCCTCTTGAGGCAGTACTGTTTTTCTCAGGATAATGTCTGTTCTCTTCAAAAGTAAAAAAAAACTAGATAAGTGCACATCAATAAACAACTCAGTCCCACACAGTCATTAATATATTCTGACAGCAGTGGCCTTATCCTGAATAATGTAAAAGTTGAAACTGTGTTTGAGAATAGTGACCCGACAAAGGTCACTATTCTGCGTCTTGTTATGACGAGGCGGCAAGAAAAACAACAACCATGGCAAACTATGATGCGGATAGCACTATTTATGTCTAACCATATTGAACAGATTGTGTTTGTATGGTTGGGAAAGATCACTAGATGCGCTCCAGCACTACCATCCATGTTTACTTCCGTAAACACAGAGCACGCTGGCCTGTGACGTCATTGCGTCCTCTACTGCGCATGCGGGACACGTGCGTTGTATGACTGCAGTTCACCCAGGAGATCACATACATGTCGCATATATTTGGAAATGTGAACGGCAACGAAACAAAATCAGATTTCACAAAAAAATCGTAATTGAGCATCAAAAGCCTGCAGTGTAAATGTAGCCTTAGATTATTTTGATGATTCTTTGCTAATATTTAAGGAAAAAAACGGTCAGCAAGGAATAATCAATGGATCATTATTTAAAACTAATACATTGGTGATGATTTAATGAATTTAGCGTTGATCAGTAAAAAAATAAAAGTAATAATTTTCGTCGTGATCACTGAGTCTGGGACTGGTCATTTTTGCCAAAGTATAGTAACACCTCAGTCCTAACCACCATTCTACCCGCTTTACAAGCAAAATGAATGGGAACTATTATACACACCTGCAATCAGCAACAATTATTATAGATTTCACCACTGAAATTCGCAAAAGCTATAGTCAAACTGACTATGCCCACGTGTATGGGTTAGGGTTAGTAAAAAAAAGTGAAAAATAAAAATGTATCATCATTGGATTGCCAACTTGAAGAGGGAGGATTTGCCATCAAACTTCTGGCCAGATAAAAAACATGTAATATGTAGCCAACATTTGGAAGAAGAATGTTTTCAAGATGACTTGGATAATAGCACGTAGTGACAAACGGCAGATACAGCACTGGGACTTGATCAACAGCCGATAAAGCACCGTGACAGTAGGTGGCAGTAGTGTTCTTTGACAAACATGGATGCCTCCAGTAAAGCACATTCAAATGAAAATTACTCTTAATTAAAATTACTGTTCATTTATTGAACGGTATGCAATAATTTTATATTTAATTTACTTTCAAAGGTTTGAATTCTGAATATGACCTATATTACTGTGTCAAGAGATGGAATTTCCTGAAAAGCAGCAAATTATAGGCGGTTTACTTTACCTGTTTGGTTCCACCCTGAAAGTGACAAAAATGATAGAGTACCAGCAGGAGATTTTCCCCATACTCTCATCCAAACGACAGCAGAGGAGAATCTACAGGTGTATAAAAAGGAAGCCACAAGCGCAGAGAAGGAGCACGCACCCTGGCTTGTGACTTATTGAGGACCTCATGATATTGAACATTCAAAATGGAGATGGACAGTAGTTTACATGTACGTGTTTTGAATATAACCCTTTCTGTGCTCTTTTGGCAGAATTCTGACTTCATAAAATGGATGTTGTGTAAAAAATGATTAGTTATTTCACATTTGTAAATGAACAATCAAGGAAATAAAGGTGCAAAAAAAATAAAATAAAATACTCCCAGCATTGGTTTAAAAAGAAGGTAAAAATATCCTAAAATTAAATTTACAAAAGCATATAAAATGGCAGAATAAAAAAATATTTATGTCTGCTAATCACACTCATTACAAAATATCTTAAAAAAGATCAAGTATGCACCATCACGAAAAGATAATTCTTAGTTTTCTCAAAATGTCGCCTAAATTCAAATCTTCTCATCTCCTGAACTAATGTATCAATCAATATATGATGGAATATTAGGGTCAGGCTAGAGATTATTTTAATAATTTTTTTTTCGACATTAAAGTCACAACATTATGAGAATAAAGTTGTAATATTATGAGCCAAAAGTTCATAACAACGAGAATAAGTCATGATACCACAACCCGTTTCAGAACGAAAGCTTCAAGCTCCGACCAGCAGATGACGGCCATCCACCAAACAGCAACCTGAGTCCGCTTTGACATTCTGCCCAGTTTGATGCTGGTGCTAAAATATTTCCTTATTTGTCAAACCAATGCCAAAGTATAACTTCACATGATGTTCGACATTCCTAGTTTTAGGAAAGAAAGTGCTTCTCCTAACAGTCATAAAATATAACTTTGTTGTTGTAATTTTAGGACTTTATTCTCGTAATGTTGCGACTTTATTCTTGTAATTTTGCAACTTTCTTCTGGTAATTTTATGACTTCATCCTCATAATATTATGACTTTCATTCTCGAAATTATAAATAAATAAAAATCTTGGCCCTTATACTCGTAATCAATGCACTCATTTTGAGCACTTTTCATGATTTTAATGGCAATACAGTTTTTATATGTTTCATTGTTCTATTTACCAAATTCTATGTTGATGTGCTTTAAAAACCATGTTAAATTAAAAAAAAATATGTGATGATTTAATGTCAGATATATATGTTTTTTTCTGCAGAGTGTCTTCAAGAATTTTGACACAGATGGCGATGGCAACATTTCCAGGGACGAGTTTGAAGCAATCAGGAACAATTTCCCCTACCTCAGCAAATTTGGAGAACTAGACAAGAACCAGTGAGAAGCCACAAATGAACACACAGAACAAAATGAATAGTGTGGTGTGTGTTTGCATCAGTGTTTTTCATTTGCTCCTCTCACAGAGATGGGAAGATCAGCAGAGAAGAGATGATCGACTACTTCATGAAAGCCAGTTCTCTGCTAAACTGCAAGATGGGCTTCATCCATACTTTCACAGAGACTACCTATGTGAAGCCAACATTCTGCGAGCACTGCGCTGGCTTTGTAAGGAAACACTTTATACTTCTATACATCTTTTTTTCCATTGTTGAAATAGTAGATTTCATTGACTTGATTGAGCTGCTAATCTGTAAACTCAGATTTTGGTTGGGATCTATGAGTAACAAAATTGACACTATTTATCTGCTTTAACTGAAAAGCAAAAGAACAATTCTGATTTTTTTCACTGGTTCAACATGCACATAAGAGATCATGGTTTGCAGAGGTGGAAAAAGTACTAAAATATCATACTCAAGTAAAAGTACCAATACTTGGATGAAATTTTACTCAAGTACAAGTAAAATTACCCATCAGAAAAATTACTCAAGTAAAAGTAATAAGTAGCTATTTAAAAATTTATTTTAAGTAAAAGTTACTTAGGTACATTAAAAAAAAAACTGTTGAACGGGACAGGGGATCTCTCCCATGTAGTGAAAATAGGACAAGGAGTCATAAATCCAAAACTATTTATTTTTTAATTAAAGAAAAATCTATACAAATGTATACACATGTAATGACAAGATAACACATGTCACAAATGACATTTAAGACCCTTATAAATGTATAATGTGCCATTTTAGTGCAGAACATCCCATAAAATGTTTTCAATGTTTCCACATCAATTGAAAGTGTAATTGCCATGAATTGTTCATTCTGAGTGCCATCCCTCTTTTAACATAAACAGTTATAATGCAAATCAAGGCTAAATCACGTGTTTCGACTCCATAAATAACCAAAATAGAACTAAAATCTCAGTGTCAGGGACATTTCAGAAAAATAAAAGCAAAATAGTGCAACACTCTGATGGCAGGCTGGGCGTTTAATGTCTAATGATAAAACACGTCAAAAAAACTTCTAACTAAAAAAATATAAATCACACTCTCCCATTGTATATGTCCACCTTAAAGGAGAAATCCAGTGAGTTTTCACATAGATCTGTTTCTCGGTATTGAAAAAAAAAAAACTGAAAACAATTGGTTTTACCTAGCTTGAGTTGCTACGGCCAGCAGCTAACACAGCCAGGCATCTACAGTGCTACACTCTAGGGGCATGTTCATGAGCCTCCATCATGTTCATACACCCAGAGTGTAGCGCTGTAGCTGCCAGGCTGCGTTACCTGCTGGCTGTGGCAACTCAAGCTAGGTGAAACCGGTTGTTTTCGGGGGGTTCTCTGAACCGTCGTCGCTCTCCTGATCCACCTCCATCTCTTCCCCAATCTCCTACAGAAAGACTTGGCGCCTGGTAGCCTAGATCTACATGCTGATCATGTCACTCACTGTAGTGCTTCCGGGCCCGATTTTTTGTCTTCCTTTCGGTTTTCCAGAGTTTTTTTTTTAACTCAGTAACGAATGGGATTTGTAATGTAACGAAATACTTCACTCAAAACGTAATCAAGTAAAATTTAAATTACCGATTTTAAAAACTACTTGAAAAATACAAAATAAACAAAAAACCTACTCAATACAGTAACTTGAGTAAATGTATTTCGTTACTTTCCACCTCTGATGGTTTGTTTTAATAGGAGAAAAAAGTAAACGAACATTTTTGAGAACAACTTATAGAATGACATGGTTAAAATTGGATTTTCTGAATTTGGTGAATTCGGTTATATTAGAATGGAGTACATCTTTACAAAAAGAATAGGAGAACCTCAAACAAGATATGAGTGATGATGATATTTTTATTTTATATATATAAAAGTTTGGTAATTGATTTGTAATGGCCTGGCTGAGAGTTGTTTGTTTTCAAATACCAGTCTAAAAGGGGTACTCATCAAAAATAGTTTATTATTGCTGATAAATATCATTCAATGTAATATTGGGTCTTTTAAGGAGCTGTAAAAGTAAATATGTTGTAATTATTCAACTTATTTATTGAGATTTGCATTGTTCTGTTGCTACTACGGTCGACAAAGTGTGTAAAGATGCTGCAAAAGCATGAAATATACAAATGCCAAGCAAATACAAAAAGTGATACAAAGCTAAAAAAAATTGGCTTGCAAACTAAAAAAGACTACAACACAAACACCAAAACACATATAAAGAAAAGCTGCAGTCACAAAAAAGAGAGCAGGAACAGGAACGTATGCTGCAAACACATATATTATGCTAGCACAATATTCCGCATGAAGCAAAAACAATTTAAACCTAATGATGTGGAAAAATATTGGTATTTCAACGCTTTACTCCCTATGTCTAAAAGATCTTGTGTCCTCACTTTGTTTGCTTTAGTGTTTCCTTTAATTGTTGTCCCACTGCTAACTGTTCCTCTCAGCGCTTCATTTATGTTTCATACCTCTTTTCTTTTTCCTTTATCTCTGTCTTTCTTTGACTTCCTCCCTTTGTGTCATTTCTATATTTTCTCTAATGCCTTTTCTTTCCTTCCTTCCTTCAACGTGAAGTTTTTAGTCCCATCATTTTACTAGCTTGCTTTTTTTGGCTCCTTTATTGTTCATTCTGTCCTTTCTTTCTTCCATTTCTTTTCATTATTTCATCCTTTGTATTATCACATTCTTTAACCATCCTTTTCCTCCTTCCTATAATAACGTGAATAACTAGAATAATAACGGGTTTGTTAACTGGGATGAATTTACAACTTGGAAAAGAAGTTCAATTAAGTTTCAAATGTATCATAAATAATCTGTCAATTTCAGACACAATTTAAGCTCAGAAATAGAAAATATACATTGAGGAAAATAAGTATTTAAACACTGCTACTTTGCAAGTTCTCCCACTTAGAAATCATGGATGGGTCTGAAATTGTCAACGTAGGTGCATATCTACTGTGAGAGACATCATTAAAAAAAATATCCAGAAATAACAAAGTATGATTTTTTAACTATTTATTTGTATGATAAAGGATTTGAGCAGCTGTTTATGTATATACATATATATTTTGACCCTCAAAGAGCTGTTGGTCAGCCTTCAAAATGTCCACCTCCATACAATCAGTAAGAATACATCTACTAACATGGCTGAGACCAAAGAGCTGTCCAAAGACAATAGAGACAATATTGTACACCCCGACAAAGCTAGAAATTGCTACAGGGGAATTGCAGAGCAGTTTGGTGAAAAAAAGGTCCACTGTTGGAGCAATCATTAGAAAATGGAAGAAGCTAAACATGTCTGTCAATCTCCCATAAACTGGGACTCCATGCAAGATCTCACCTCGTGGCATCTCAATGATCCTAAGAAAGGTGAGAAATCAGCCCAGAACTACAAGGGAGGAGCTGGACAATGACCTGAAAAGAGCTGGGACCACCGTCTCCAAGGGTACTGTTGGTATTATATTAAAATATCATGGTTTGAAATTTGCATGCCACGGGGGGTTCCCCTCCTTAATCAGCACATGTCAAGGCCCGTATTAAGTTTGCCAATGACCATTTGGATGATCCAGAGGAGACATGGGAGAGTCATGTAGTCAGATGAGACCAAAATGTAACTTTTTGATCATGATTCCACAAACCGTTTTTGGAGGAAGAACAATGATGAGTACCATCCCAAGAAAACCATCACTACTGTTAAGCATGGAGGTAGTAGCATCATGCTTTTGGGGTGTTTTTCTGCACATGGGACAGGGTGACTGCACTGTATTAAGGAGACGATGACCGGGGCCATATATTGCAAGATTTTGGGGAACAACCTCCTTCCCTTAATTAGAGCATTCAAGATGGGTTGAGGCTGGGTCTTCCAACATGACAATGACCAGAAGCACACAGCCAGGATAACCCAGGAGGGGCTCAGTAAGAAACATATCAAGGTTCTGACGTGAACTAGTGAGTCTCCAGACCTAAACCCAATAGACAATCTTTAGAAGGAGCTCAAACTCTGTTTCTGTGTCTGTTTCTCAGCGACAGCCAAGAAACCTGACTGATATAGAGGTGATCTGTGTGGAGGATAGGGCTGGGTATTTTCGCCAAAGTCCTGAATCGATTTGATTTTGATTCATGCAGTTCTAAGTCGATTAATTTCAATTCGATCTGTTTTTACAATAATGAAAGTGGTTCAACTGTGTTTCAAAATACCCATGTATTTTGTTTTTTCCTGTCACATTAAACACAAAGTGCAAACTTGTAAATCAGACAGTTTAAACGTGAGATGTGAACAAAACTGTCTCAAAAGTGCAAACTTGTTTGTGAAAAGGGAAAAATTGAAGCCTCACTCGAGCAAGCAGACGTGACACAGCAGATATTCATGAGCTGCATTATCTCCACTGCACAAACCATATTTGCAGCGTTGTCTGTAACAACTACAGGGTGTTTGCTGCTCAGCCCCCATTCGTTAATGTCTTCAGTCAACCTATTGGCCATATTTGCAGCTCTCTGAAGTAATCTTGAGTGCATCTTTCCTGCTTATTTGAATGTGAACGTCACGTGGTTCACTATAAAATGAATCGATTTCATTCCCTCAACATTGATTTTGCAAAAATGTAAAGGAATCATTTCAAAATCGATTAAATTGATATTTTTACCCAGCCCTAGTGGAGGAGTGGGCCAAAATCCCTCCTGCAGTGTGTGCACAAAATGTTGACCTAATTGCAAACAAAGGCTACTGTACCAAATATTAATATTGATCATTTCTCAGGTGTTCAAATACTTAGTTGCAGATGTATCATACAAATAAATACTTAAAAAATCATACATTGTGATTTCTGGAATTTTGTCTTTGGTTTATGTCTCTCACTTTGGACATGCACCTATGATGACAATTCCAGACGTCCCCATTGATTTCTAAGTAGGAGAACTAGCAAAATATCAGGGTGTTCAACTGCTTATTTTGCTCACTGTATATAACCAAAAAATATACTATTTTATATTACTTCAAAATGAATCATACTCCTGTTTTTCAGAAATAATCGATCTTTTGTTTGTTTGTTTCTTGCTTTAGTGTTCATTATTGTTATTTTTGTCTTTTGATACCAGATGTCGACTATTTTAAAAGGTCAAAGGTCATACATGCTGCTGATGCCGTTCCGCATCAATGTAGTGAGGCACACTATTTGCACAA